CTTCTTTCTGAGTCACTGATAATCTCCTTGTACTTTGAGATAGTGCGGGCTCGACCTTTAGATAACTAAATGCAAGAAAACAACTGTGATTCTCATCTGTGAGAACAGAAACATTTCTTTATTTAAATATTTACATTGATCAGTCTAAGCTTGAAGGTCTGTGTGTGTCTTACAAGGTTTAGGTCTTTGGTGTTAACAGTGAAGCCGGTTAGCAAACCGATATCCAAAACTGTCATGGCGGCATCTCGATGTTGGTTCTTATATCTGTGCAGAATAAAAATTAAGGAGGAAAAGAGTTGATAGAAATACAGAAATACATTAAAGCATGCATGCACGTTTCATAAACAATATTTGTTAAAACGGTTGCTATGTTGTAGCAGGATGATATTCTTTGCCTCCTCTCTGTGGCTCCTCTGCAGCAGCAGCATCAGTCAGTCAGAAACAACCAATCAGAGGCAGGAGGAGGATCTTAGTGCTGTCAATCAAGCTTAGCGTTAAAAACAAGACCCTCACAGAGATTTTATTGTTTGTACATGTGTTTTGGTGTTTGAATTTAGACATTTTAATTACTGATCAGTCACTACCAGAATTATTTTTTTCCTTACCCATTTTAGGGTTAAATTAACAATTTTCATAAAATGTTAAATTCATTCTAATAGGTCTTACAAAAGCTCTATTCTTATCTTGTATATCTTCTCACGTTCATCTGATGTCTCTGGAAACACAACAAACGTTTATTTGGTAGAACACCACACCAGTTAGGTATGAAACATCCCCAGAAACTTATTAACACACAGCAAGATGCAAAACACAAGAAAACTAACCTGGGAGGAGTTCTACTGTCATATTGAACTTCTGACAATCACTATATTTTTCATTGGGTAAAGCATAAAATAACGACACCATCTGTCATAAAAGAGTGTTTTTAAGTTAGCATATAATACATAAATAAATAGGAAGTCGTTTATGAGATTATGTATTTAAAGTTAAAAATATGTTTGATTTTCCATGAATAAAGCTGAACCCAAACCAAGAAGTGAACATTTGACTTACCGTCACTGTGGCTTCTCCTGGGCCTGTAGCAACGACAGTCACGTCTTGGTTTATATTATTCATCTATAATAATTTAAAATGCAGACAAGCAAAGAGATCAGCTAAAACACATGAAGTGGATTTTTTTAAATAATAGTTTTGAGCCACTAATGTAAGGTAATTTTAGTCATGTAGCACATTTTCAGCAACAAGGCAATTCAAAGTGCTTTACATATGGGAATAATAGTAAATACTAATAGTTTCAAAATGCTTGTTCGAACTTTAGATGTTCTTGTGGCAAAGTAGTTCTTCCTGTTGAAGTTGTATTTCACAGGCTTTGATCTGCCCGGCAACAAGATGTCCACATTTAGATAATAGTCTGGATCTTGTTCACCAGTCCAGAACTCTGCCACGGCCTGGTACGCCATCACAGTGGCCTGCAGAGACAAGACGGACATGAAAAACAAATTGTCCTGAGTACCAAGAAACATCCATCCATCCATCCATTTTCTTTCACCCTTGTCCCTCAGTGGGGTCGGGAGGGGTGCTGGTGCCTATCTCCAGCTAACGTTCCGGGCGAGAGGCAGGGTACACCCTGGACAGGTCGCCAGTCTGTCGCAGGGCAACACAGAGACACACAACCAAGTACACTCACACCTAGGGACAATTTGGAGAGGCCAATTAACCTGACAGTCATGTTTTTGGACTGTGGGAGGAAACCGGAGAGCCCGGAGAAAACCCACGCATGCACAGGGAGAACATGCAAACTCCATGCAGAAAGACCGGGGCCAGGAATCGAACCCAGAGCCTTCTTGCTGCAAGGCAACAGCTCTACCAACTGCGCCACTGTGCAGCCGTACCAAGAAACAAACCAGTGTAATTAATACCACACAGCTTTGGTTTTAAAGTGTGATATAAGTGTAACTGGCTGAATGAATTAACTGTGGTTTAAATATATTGCTTATCAGCTGAGCTGAGGCAGTGACAGCCACACTTGGCGAGAGTTGGAGTGACCTCAATCATCCTCAACAAATGGGGTCTTCCACCAAAAAAATAATAAAAAAGAAAGCCCCTGTACCTCTTTGTGGAGGAGGTTCATCTTCAAGAGAGGAGAGCTTTTTGCATTTCATAACCAGAAAAACGTTTGCTAGTTTATTCCCTTGTGAACGCTTACAGCAAGGCATTTTCTCTGTATTTTGTTTTTCAGCTGCAAAACCTGCTCAATAGAGGAGGTAAAGTAATGTGTACATAAGATAATCGCAATAGACAGATTTTTCCTGTGGTTACCACTATGTTTTATAAGCAGGGAGGACATACTGGATTTTAAGGTCAGGGCTAATAATAATCCCCCAATATTTCCAATTAGACTCCAGGTGATTACCAACTTGAAACCTTAATGCTGTGTCCTTAAGATAATCCAGAGTTGTCACTCAACGGGAAATTCATCTTCTCAACACAACAAACTGATAAAATCCAAGTGTATAAATTTGCCTGAGAATATAAAGAAAGGTAAACATTGTCATAAAGGTAACCCCCCCGCCCCTCCCCAAAAAAAAAAACACACAAGTTTTTCATCACCTGAGTTGATCCAAAGCCTCCATTTTCTCTTAGCTGTTTGTTAAACCACCTTGCAACTGGCCAGGCTTCTTTAAATGCCTTTACAATGAAAAGACACTGGATGAAAGCTGTCAGATAAAAATGAACATCTGTCGTGTTTATGTAGTACGTAAAACATGCCGACCTTGAATCTGACCAGAGCCAGGAGAGCGTATGCTGTGGCTTCCACTGTGTAAACACGACCCACTGGTACCGGCCAGTGGGACTGATCTGAGGACGACAACAAGACTCAATCTCAAGAAGCCTTGTCTTGGTCTGTGGTAAAGACCAAGACAACTCTCTCGTCTTCTCTTAGTGCTGTAGTTGAGAGGTTGCATGGTCTACACTGTTTCATTAGAACTGCTCCATAGTGTCTGTGTTACTGTGTGATCGCACCTGGAGAGGAGAAACTGTGCAGGATCTCCAGGTTCAGCTTGTTTTCATTGGCCAGGGCATACGACGCCATGGCAACGGCATAGGGATTGATTAAGGTCAGCAGGCGTTTTTGGAGGTAGCTCACTGCTTTGTTTATGCTGTCTTGTAAACTCTGGACAAAACAGAGGAAATATTTTAAAATAGGTGAGCAATTCTAGAATATTGGAAGCATTACAGTATACTGTGTTGTGAGAGAAAACAAAGATCCTCACATTAACACTGGCACTACATAACCCGCTTGACTCCTGCATGGCAATGAGGCAAAAGGCTGTCAGGGAGACGTCCGAATCTACGCCGCCGACGTCACCCTGTGGACACACACAACCTGTTCTTACACTGATACTGATTTACAAATACTACGGTTTTTAAAATGAAGAATAATAGGTCTGGATGATTTCACGGTGCCCACTGTCATCTCTACGTGGGACATTCTTCCAACTTCTCTGAACATCCCGTCAGGCTGCTGTGCGTTGTGAATCAAAAAGTTGACGGCGTCACAGATGACTTTGCTTTGAACGGCCACCAGTCTGTGGGCCAGGGAGAAAACCTTGACAACATACGCCGTCAGCCTTTAGGGGGGAAACGGAGGATGCAGAAAGGTTGGTCACTTCTGAAACATCAAACCGAACAAAAGTCAGATTGTAAGTTCGTCTACGTAGAGGCACGTAAAGCCTCCAGTCAACCATTTTGTCTTCTTTAGGAGTCATACTTTCTTGTGATCTCTTAAAGTGGCTTTGAGCAATGACACCTCTAAAGTTTGGCCTGTAAAATATTTTGGCATAAAAAGTCTCTCAAATTTTGGAGCTTAATTGATTTTCTGTCAACATACATTGTGGGTCGAGTTGAGGGGTTCGGGGAATTTACTTCAGGAATTTTGTGCAATACTAGCAGAATTTTGTTGTTGTTGTTTTTCTTTTCTTCTTAATCTCTGTCGGCACTTAACCCTAAATCAGATCACCATAGTTGACATTTACCCCAGAAAAACGTTCCCAGTTTTCTTATTCAGTTCATTCCTTTCGTTCTCTGTGGTTATTCTCTGTAGATTATAGTCCGGATTAGTTATCTTTTTAAGTCTACCTAAAGAGAGGCAATTTGACTACTAAAAAATACTGTAAAAGAACCATCTATTGATCAATTGATATAAGTATTTCAAAACTTAGCAAATTATTATAGATAGACAATTATGTCTGAAAGTTTTCAGGGCTCACCATGTGCTGCTGTCATGATCAGGATATGCAGCAAAGGATCCGTCTCTTTTACGGTAGCTTAGCTGATTACGGTAACCTAAGCCCAACAAAACAAACAAGATTCACTGACTGAAGTTTATGTTTTGTTGTTGCACACTAAAAGAAGTGTGCAACACATCATTCATTGGTATTGTGCTCAAGGTAAATTTTTTTTTATTTCTTTACACAGTGCAAATTTAAAATAAACTTGATCTCTGATTTTACACGACCATTTTGCACATTAGAATTACACAGAATCTGCTTCAGTCTAACATAGAACAGTTACAACAGGTACCATCAGACGGCCTCCTCAGTTAACACGAAACCTAGGAGTGGGTTGGTATTACCCACAATTCATCTATATGGCATGTGACGTTTTGAATTGAAAGGCAGAAATATGGCGATGTTCGCTGAAGAAACTGTGTCGCAAAACAATATCAGTTTTCAAATGTAAAGTATTGAAATCATTTTTGTCTCACTCTACTGAACATGAGTAAATACTATAAAGATTTTTTCTACATGTCATAATGAAACACATTTGAAATGCCAAATATCTCCCGCAATAACCTTGGGAAGCAAAAATACCTAATACTGTGCATTTAAATCACGTAATTTAACATTCGTAAAGTGCATACAATAGCCGTTGCTTATGCTGGAACAGCGACTGGTCCCGACATGTAACTCATACTGTCCCAGTCCTCCCAATTTTGCACTCAAACCCTTGTGTGCACTTCGTACAGGGGGTGTAGGATGTAGTGCGAGTATCGGGACAGGATCCTTACTGAGGAAGTAATTCAGCCATTTGATTGAGATACGATGTACTAGGGACACACCTAAAAATTTCAGGTCGCCACCCCTCGAGGACTGGAGTTGAAGATCCCTGACCTGGGATATAAATCATCAGGGAAATATATATTTTTATTTGCCCCACCGGTTATGACGTGTTGCAGGGCTTCATCCCGTCTCTCGACCCCCACGGCTTCCCACTGGTAGGTCATGTCCAAATACGTGATTGCAATGACGGGCATTGTCAAGTGGATCATGTTTTCCTCTCCACAACCAGAAGGTTGGTAGAGCAGGCCGCTCATCGACTCTCCAGTGACGGCGTTCTTCAGCTCTTCTTTAGGCTTTTTTCCTGGCAACATTCCCACAAGCAGCAAAGAGACGCTAAAGTCATGCAGGCTTACTTGCATCTTGCAGTCTTACATCCGGTTTTTTTGCGTATCACCTGTAATTGCTATTTGTGTGCTGGTAGTTGAGTTCGGTATGATGTCAATCAGAGGAATGTTACTGCGGAGGAGCTGCACTTGTTTACCATCTGGATTTAAGAAAAGAAAAAGATTTCATAAGGATTCAGTATCAACCTTCACTCTAATCTTTCCTTTAGCGCAGTTTGTCTGATGGTCTCAACTCAGTGCTCTCCATGTACCTCATCCATTCATCGTAACTTCAGAGTCATCCCACTCATTTGAATAATAAAAAATGGAAATAAATACACTGTTAATGTACGCTGTAGTTTATCAGAAAGTATCTGCGTGCTGAGCTATGAGTACATAAAAATTTTATAAATCTACAAAGTCCTGCTTACCTTTTCCTTCGTTTTCGGGATCCAGGTTTATAGTTTGAGGTGCTTTTACTAGGAAGCCTTCCGGCTAGAAAAACAGCAGTGAGGAAACATATCTAAAATATTTTATTAGTTTTTGTTAATGTAATCATTTGAAACTGTTGAAAGATAAAATAGGCTGGCTACGCACTGATCATTTCTCTTACCACAACCCGCAGCTTTTTTGTAATTCCATCTCTGAGCATGGTATCCTTGACAGCCGCTTTGACCTCGATGTTGAAATCTCCTTCTCTCATCGGAATAATAACAAAGGGAACTGATTGTGTACTCGAGGCCCCAACTTTGACCTCCTGCTGATATTTCCCACGCCTTGAAGCTGCGCTGCACACATGTTCTGCCTCAAGTAGATCCACACGTACCTTAAAAACAACAGACAGATAAAAAGGTACGAAGTGACTATTCAGTTCAATTAATTTCAGATGGTTTTTGATGCTCAGTAATGGACTGGGAATAAAGTAATCCCTGGAAGGTCAGTGGAAACATTTTTTAGAAGACTCATTTTCTAAGTGTCGAAAAAACATTTTCTCTTGATTAAAAACTTATGTGCAAGTAAAATAGAAATCTAACTCAAATATGATAAAGCTTTTTCTCTTTGAGGAAAATTTTTTTTCCTCAAAAAAATGGATTGAAAAAAGGATTACAATGTGCAAAGTTTGATGAGTTTCATTTTTTCCCCAGTATTTGACAATAAAAAAAGCAAATTATTTCATTTCTCCAACCTGCAACAATGGGTGGATTTTGACTTACGCAGTTACGAAGAGCAGCATAGAAAGGGTGAAGAAAAAGCACCAGATTAACACATTTCCAATTGCGTACATCCATGTGCAGTCAATGGGGACTTGTTAAGAAGGTTCAGCCTGCTTAATGCTAACAATAGGGAGACTGTGTTTCATGCTTTTGTTGAAGACTGCTCCGCAACTACCCTAACCCATTATTTAAATAACTTCTTGCACTGTATTAAGTTTGCAAAGGAAGGACTCCTGATTTGAGTAAAGGCAATCACAAAGTAATAATCAGTGGCTAATCCATGCTTAAATACTTACAGTGGCAATATCAGGACTTTGGTTGTGCAGAATGGCTTTAATTTCTATCTGCTCTCCTCGAACACTTGAATAGGGCAGTTTGAGATCAATGAAGAAATCCTTTCGAACAACAATGTCCAAAGGGTCGGCCACACAGAGGCCTTCAACAGCATAAATATCACAGAAAATAAATACACAGGGAACGCCTAAGGGACTTAAATCTACAGAAAAAAACCAGTGAATTTTCTTGATGTTGAGTTTGAAACACAACTAAACACTGAAGCCTGATGTTTAATGAATTCTCACCACCAGTTTTGGACAGACCAATCCCTGTGAACCGCCATGTTGTGATCGTATCCTGCAGAGCCATTTTCTTTACGAAGGAGGTTGTTTCGCTGAAACAAAGACACATTTAAGACTGAAGCTAAACTGATAGCATGATTCTTTGTGTTTATTTGTAAATGTTTCAGTGAACCCACCAGTTAGGCTTGTCTGGAGGACATGCTGGCAATTTGACATCGGACCACAGCCAGCTTTCAGGGAATTTGGTGCGAGAGACAATATCATTGGTGTCCATGTAGCTGCTGTCGTCGCTCTCACCTCGAGTTTGATAAAAAAATAATCACATTTTATTACTTTCAAACAACAAAACTGACAAAATAATGATGCTGTCGCCTCTCATGTCTTGTTCCAGGCGCTTATGTGATGGTTTGAAAGTTGGTTATTGCAGAGATACATTTATTCTTTTGATGTTAGGAGGTTGTAATGCTTTACCAGCACTTTGGGCTGAAGATGTTAATGTCTAGCTGATGTAATGGTTAGATGCAACCAGCAGGGGGAGACTAGCGCTTGCGCTAGCTATATTGAAGAGCACCGGAACTTCCTCCTTAGATAATAATAATACAGGTGCTGGTCATAAAATTAGAATATTGTGATAAAGTTCATTATTTTCCATAATGTCA